GGCACGAAGAGCTTCACAAAAGCCTCCAGGTAGGAGTAGAGGAGCGTGACCAGGAACAGGAGAACCTCCACAAACAGATTCATTGTTTTCCCGGAGCTCTTTTGAGGACGGAACCGAACTTTAATCCCGTTTAAGGAGACGCAGGTTGTTGATTTACCCTCTGCCCGTCTCAGTGCGCGCCGCTGGTCCCGTTCGCTCCCGCAGGATCCACCCCCGCACCGCCCGCTGCTCCGCCCAGCTATCCCATTCTGAGCTGCCGGTGTCCCATTCTGAGCTCCCGATGTCCCACCCTGAGCTCTCGGTCTTCCATTCTGAGCTCCCGGCGTCCCACCCTGAGCTCCCGGTGTCCCTGTGCCGGTGCGGAGGAGCTGCAGTCTATGCTCGCAGAACCGTGCTCGCCCTGCAGCGCACGGGACGTGCCGGGCGTGGATAAAAAATGCGTTTTTTAGGACGTTATCGGACCTCTTGGCTGAGGAAAACACAGACGATGGAGGTGTGAAAGCCCCTCTGTGTTCTGCCCTTGGTTTTGATCAGTCAGTCGCCCCTGACTGTTCATTCTCTGCTTTGTGTGTCCCCACGCAGGTGGCAGTGCCTTTCTGTCCCTTTCTCCGGCCCTTGTATCAAGGAAGAAGCAAAACATGTTCTTGTTCGTCATTTGCTGCAGGTGGAAAAGGGACGGAAGTGGCAATAGAATTGCTCATCCGATTACTGACAAAAGCATCTTGAAGTTCCATTCAACTCTGTATTGTAATTATTTTCATTTTTTGTGCTTTGTGCCTGTCGAGCTGCTCAGTGCCGTGAGGTCCTAGAGCAGTTTTCTTCACAGTCCTTCCTTCCATTGCATCTCTGTGCATTGTCAGCAGGCTTTGTCCCCCACCATCCTCTTCCAGCTCCCTTAAGGAAAGCTGAATGAGACATGTCTTTTCAACTTCTAAAACTCCACAGGTGAGCTCTTGCCTAGCTCACCTTACCTTGTTTTTCTTATTGTGTCTTTTATTTAGTTATTCATACTCAGACCTTCCATCTTATGCTGCAGCTTCTTAATTTCCATAAGTCCTGTGAAAAATGGAATTAAATTGCATGAATTGCATAATTTTTATCTAATTTAGTCTAAATCACACAACTCACACTTAGACTCACTTGTGAGTATGCAGAACCTTAAGCAGAACAGGAATGCTTATAGGAGAAAAGTACTTCCAGGTGTTTTTTCCAGCTCTATCAGTGTAACTGCATGGCCTTTCCTGAAAGGATTGCTGATCTTACTCCTTTGCTTTCAGTTAGAAAAACTGATGTATCACAGTCATGTTCATCATTTTATCTAAGGATATTCTTGAGCTGCTTAGGGAAGTGTGAAGGGTTCACTAACACCTAACAACTGACCAAAATTGTGTCCAGTTAAGATTACAGTTTTTGAAAAGTATTATTTTTGTCCTGGTAGTTTGCTTGCAGTTTACCTTATCAGTGAGAGACTGGGTCAGTTCCAGCACAAAGTTAAAGAACTGGGCGCTTCCTACTTTTCTCTTGGAACTTGGTCCTCTGCTCAATTAACACATCAGTGTTTGGGCCAGACCCCAATTGCACGGCTCAGCAGTGCTGTCAT